GACCGACCGACCGACCGACAACCGACCAACCGACCGCCCGACCGCCCGACCGCCCGACCGACCGACCGACCGACGACCGACCAACCGACCGCCCAACTGACTGACCGACCGACCGACCGACCGACCGACCGCTCGCTCGCTCGCTCGCTCACACACACTCACTCACTCACGCACGCACGCACGCACGCACGCACGCTCTCACTCACTCACTCACTCACTCTCACACGCACGCATGTACATGAACGTTGCTACCATCACACCCCATTAGTACACATTACTTAAACTTGCATCTACGTGAAGGGCCGTTCATTTCCTGCCGACATGCTTTGGTAAATAACATTGAAAGCTCTTCAATCAGGGACGGAGCACACAACACGCAGACAGGCGTATCGCTGATTGCTTCACAGAGAGGTGACGATCGTTTGTCTGCGTCGACTGCTGCGCATGATCTCGACAAATGCGAGCTGTCGCTCTGATTTCAGCTCAGGGTGCCTTGGAAATTGCCCCTTCTCTCTCTCGCTCGCGCGCTGTCTCTCAATCATGCAATCTATATATCGAGCTGTCTATCCATCTATCTATCTATCTATCGATCAATCGATCTATTGATCTATTGATCTATCGAACTATCAATCAATCTATCTATCTATTTAGTTATCTATATGTTTAAGTACCTATCGATCTTCACGGGGAATCATGCTCGACCATCACAACGCAAACTTACACTAACAAACTGGAATCTTTCACTTGTAGCGTGAAGTCCTACGCGTCTGCATTGTGTAATTTGGGAAAAAAACTTGATTGTGTGTAAGCAGGAAAGCTCGTACCATCGCCGTTGTTACAATTTCCGCTAACAATGGCGTCGTACATCCACTGCACGCGGAATTAGAAAGCATAACAGCATCTATGATTCGATGATTAGCGCCATTAATTAACAATGGTTTGACGTTTGCGCGTTTCATTTATGAGTACGCTCATGTCCGTTGCAACATTCATCACTAAATCCTGAAGAACTTTGAGCTCATTATCCCGCCTATATATAATTATGGCTGTTATGATCTTGCTTAAAATCCCGTTGCTGCCCGATTTGTCACAAGCAAGACGAAGGAGACACTTCATAATGTTTCGTTGTGTCGCTACGCAAGAGTTGCAGCGTTAATACATATCGCACACATATACTACTCGCATACATAATGCATGGAATGCATTGCTGCATCTAAAGGCACCTTTAATGTCGCAGACGTAGAAGAGACACGCTTGAGAGTAGAGACACAGTTATCACGTACACGCTGTAGTACACACGTAGCGCTGTAGTACACACGTAGCGCTGTATACACACGTAGTAGCGCTCTGAGGCAAGCCACGAGACAAGCCGCCAGGAGCGAGATATGGGTGATCCTTTCTTTCGCGCCAAAGAAAATGTAATGAATAAGTAATGAATAGCTTTCACGTGCGGGGTATTCATTACACAAGGTTCTATCCAAAAACGGGAATTGTCATATGTCTTAAATGAACAAACAGGATGTCCTTTGGGGCTTGGTAGCAGTCCTTGAATCTTTAACTATTTTAAATATTAAATTGATCGCCACACGACGAGAAAATCGACGAGAATGTCGTTGGCCGTAACAGTTATTCGGAGACATGACAGCGTAGAGAAAATAAGGCGCATGCAGTCACCTGACAATGATTCCCTCATGGAGTGAATGCGCTCAGTCAGCTACCCAGTATTAGATGACAAAATGACCGCAAGGCGGGTGTATGGGCTGAGCGCCGGCATCCGCATATTGCGTGTTAGCAGTGTGATCATGAGTATATAATATAGACTATAGTGTGTATATATATATATATATATAATAATATATATATATATATAATATTATCTATATTATACACTCCTGGTGTGATATAAGGCCGCATTGCGAGGCGGGGAACACCTGAGACTTGGTATAGATTACGTAGCGCATATGGTTGGCCCATCGTACTGCGGTTAAATTATGTGTAACAAGGCCTCTGATTGGGTAAAGGGGCTATAATTTGACCACGGTTAAATTATTTCAACCGCGGTAAAAATAATTACTTGAGTCAACCATAAGCGTAGGCTCAAGCGCAGCTGTTTTTGAGCTGTTTTTAGATGTATGCCGCATATTGAAACCATGCTATGAATCAGAAGTCATGTGTGCGTATGCTCGTGTGTGCTCGATACTACACTGCTTTCCAGAATATTATATGTACGCACCTATATTCGCGGCCGTTATCCGAGCCCGTTATGACACCGTTATAATTATGATCAGGCTGGTCATAAGTGTTGCTGACATAAATCTGTCTACCTGCGTACACCTGCAGAGATCGTTGACGACCTGTGATGTATGCCGACACGGTGAGAGCGCGTCCTAATTGACAATTTGCGGTCGCTGCAGGTATTCTGCTATGTCGACGTTTTTCTTTCATGCTGTACACCCGGATGTCGAGTCGTCGACCTCATACCGCGTTTACGTTCGTTAGCTCTATGCAGTTTCCACAACAACACAGAGACGTACAGATTCCCTGTCACACACACGCGCGCACGCACACACACGCACGCACGCACACACACACACACACGCACGCACGCACGCACGCACGCACGCACGCATGCACGTGCGCGCACATACACACATACACACACACGCACGCACGCACACGCACGCGCACACGCACATGCACACGCACACGCACACGCACACGCACGCACTCACACGCGCGCGCGCACACAAACACACACACCACACCATACAAACACGCACGCACGTACACACGCACACACGCATGGAGCGATGAATTGGTGTTGTATACGTTATAATCTGCGAGCTAGTACGACCTATCGAGCAGACAGACGACGCCATGGAATTGTTAAACTTTCACTCGACTCTAGCCGTGGTGACTATAATACTATGTGTTCGTGATATGTAACAGTGCGTTCGTGATAACGCTGTAACACGACAATAGTTATGTCAGCACGTGGCAGCTTTACATTAGAAGGGAAGCCTTACATACATTCATGCGACATTCTTAAATGTCGATAACCCCACCCCACGCGCCCAAATATAACGAATTCTTACTTACATATTATACACATGTGTGTGTGCGCGTGCGTGTTTGCGTGCGCGCTTGCGTGTTTGAGTGTACGCGTGCGTGTGTGCATGTGCATGTGCGCAAGATGGGGTATATTATCTATGTTAATATATATTTATTTATTGAAAAAAGTGATCTATATAGACGTATATTAATCCCTTACAACCGCAATATAGCCATGATATTATCAGAAGTGAATAATAATAGATTAATATCTATTATTATTCACTCCTAATATTATGATCACGTGTGTGTGTGTGTGTGCGTGCGTTCGTGCGTGCGAGTGTGTGTGTGTGTGTGTGTGTGTGTGTGTGTGTGTGTGTGTGTGTGTGTGTGTGTGTGTGTGTGTGTGCGTGTGTGTGCAGCGTAGACTATATAAAGTGCACCGGAACCGACATTGTCAGTTTACCTCGTTTAGATGCGCAGCGTGCGTTTCGAATTTGTTTCCACGTTGTTGGTTTTGCCTACGAATGTTATGTTTTGTTGATTGATGCGAGGAGCATCGCTGACGTCCGTGATGTCACGCAGCATCATTGCTGACTGACTCACTCTACGCTTGATCCATGGGTTTCGCTTCCCCGTATATATTCTACCCACGAAACGATATAAAAAAGCATTGAACTGTGCTCGTTCTTTCTGACGAGGGTTTGAGAATTCAAAGCTGAGAGTGTCGAGAAAGTTTCTCGATAAATCGCATATTGGACGAACGCAGCCCTATGAGTACAAATTGCGAGAGAGCATAGGTTGAATCCGTGGCTAGACTATAACGATGTGTGTGGTGTGGCTGCCGACGAGCAGGTAGAACCAGCGTATTTAAATCTCGTTCAAAATCGTTGAATGAACTTAATTAGTAGGAAAATAGCACATTTATTGCACTAAACACTCATGCAACATATATTATAAACTATGTAATATTTTCAAGAGTAGACATAATATGATATAAATAAAGTGTCTACAGTGGTATTAAACAACTCGATTGTAAGAATATTGTAAAGGGAAGTCGTAACACCTTATATTACTGACGGTACATAGTCATCAGCAATCGCCCGTTGTATAAGAAATATTACTAACAGGCGTCAATCTTCTAAATTCAGGGTTATAGCTAAGAATTATCTATCTAGGAGTTACCATGCAGTGAGAATATCATGCACATACGCATGCATGCGCATACATGCGCATACATGCACGCACGCATGCACACACACGTACGCACGCACGTAGGCCTACGCACACATGCACGCACGCTCGCGCGGGATTCCTTCACATTAATTCCTTCAGTAATTATTGGGGGGGGGGGGTTGGAAAAAAAATGCTGCTCACGATCGCTTACCTTGAAAATGTTGTCGATTCTAAATCAGATGCTGAAGCGGAGGCTCAACTTTTAACCGACAGGCTTCTCTCAAATGTCGTTCTTTCTCTCTCTTTCGCTCTCGCTCTCTCTCTCTCTCTATCTCTCTATCTCTCTCTTTCGTTTTCTCTCCCTCTCCCCCTCTTTCTCTCTGCCACTCTATTTCTCTCTGTGTGTCTCTCTAGCTCTCTCTTCCGCGCGCGCTCTCTCTTCACGTATACGCCTCTATCGTAGCGACCGCATATCATCCACACACTCTCTGCGTCATCGTCGGTGTGCGTGCGGCTAGTCCGACTGGCAGCGAGTCATCGAGTGCTATGCAGCGCAGTCGCCTCACACGTTCACCTACAGCTATGACGCCCTGCTGCTGCCGTCAGCCCCTGGCATACCTGCACAGCCAGAATCACTCATGCGCCTGGGGACAGGCAGGGGCGGGTGGGGCAGCGGCGGTAGGGCAGGGGGTGGGGCAAGGGCGGGGGTGGGGCAGCGGAGATGGCGGCAGGGAGGTTGCAGCGGTGGTGTGGGGGAGCGGGGGTGGCAGCGCTGGGGGTGGAGCAGCGGGTGTAGCAGTGGCGGGGGGTGGCAGCAGCGGTGGTGGCAGCAGCCTGGGTAGCAGCGGCGGGTGTGGCGGAGGCGGAGGTAACAGCAGCGGGGGTAGTAGCGGGGGTGGCAGAAGCGGAGGTAGTAGCGGCGGGGGTAACAGCAGCGGGGGTAGTAGCGGGGGTGGCAGAAGTGGGGGTAGTAGCGGCGGGGGTAACAGCAGCGGGGGTGGCAGAAGCGGGGGTAGTAGCGGGGGTGGCAGCGGCGGAGATGCGTTCCCACGGTAATTTAAGCAGCCGACACGTCACGTAGAAACCACTGGCTGCAGCGCGCGCACTAACCTACCCCTCCCCTCTGTTCACCCTCTTCCTCTTCTCTCCTGCTTCCTTCTCGTCTCTCATAATTTCTCCTCCCTCCCTCTCCTCCTCACACACACTTTCTCCCGCGTTCTCTAGAGCACTGAGAGTAATTAGGCGTGGCTAATGCAGATAGCAGGGGCGTCATGGGAGCTGAAACCGTAAAATATACACGATGCGTATATTATCAAGAGTCCATAATAGAATTTTTTTTAGAAATAGAAATAGAAGTTAGAAATATAGAATCTATTAATCATAAGAATCAATAGAATCTTTCTTAACAATTATTCTATAGAAAATTATTTATTATTTATCATAATTTTCTATTATTGACTCTTGATATTATGTAGGCGCACATCGCTCGACCCATTCCAAATATAATTTCGGCTGTACATGTGATGATGATGATGATGCCACAGCTGTGCCTGAGGAGACATGCGATCTTCGTGCATCCATATCGGTATTGGTTCATATGCGTATTAAACAAAGTTCTGCTACTACAGCTTGTGCTCATAACCTGCACGCATGTTTTAATTACGTACATCGATATACGTAATGCGTCGTTGACAATTTGCGACTTGCTACAGTGTGACTGGGATAGAGTAGATGGGGGATGTATAAATAGTACCGTCTGTTCATCCACGCGCGCCACCTGACCTCACTCACATCTCGTCTGCTGCGCACCGCGTCACGTGATCGCACGCCACTTGTTAGTTTCGGCGTGGTGTGTTTGCGGAGCGCTGATGGCGTCGTGACGTCACGCCGTAGGTTGGATGTACGGCAATGATTTCGAGCAGGGGCAAGATTAGCCAAGCGGAAGCAATCTAATCTTCATTTAGGCACGCTGGGGAAATATTGCACGAGCCTCTAATACCGGGGAAACGGGTTGATGCTCCCGTCGAGTCAGTGTGAGTATAGAGGGCGCGAGGGGCGCAGGCGATGCATTAATATAACACGGCGACGACGTGCCTTGACACGTGTGTAGATACGATCGAGGCCCGCCCAAATAATAGGGATGTGAAAGCTCGTTGACAACGCTATTGAAATTAATTAACGACTAAATTACGAAATGGTGGGATTAGTCGATGAATGACGCTTTGATCTCCGCCCGCATTATCGTTCACGTGAGAGCTTTATTACGACACCGCCTGCGCCAGCACCGTTAGCACACGCACGCACGCACGCACGCACGCACGCACGCACGCGCACACGCACGCACACACACACACACACACACACACATGCACACACACATGCACACACGCACGCACGCACGCACACACACACACACACACACACACACACATGCACACACACATGCACACACGCACGCACGCACGCACACACACACACACACACACACACACACACACGCGCGCGCACAGCACCACACACATGCACCACGCAGACGCACCCACGCACGCGCGCACACACACACATCACACACACGACACACCACTCACACACAATGGCAACACACCACACCCACACACGCACGCACGCACGCACGCACGCACGCACGCACGCACGCACGCGACGCACGCACGCACGCAGTGTACGTACACACAACACACCACCACACCACACACCCGCACGCACGCACGCACGCGCGCGCACACAGCAACACACCAACACACACACACGACACACGCACGCAAGCACGCACCCACGCACGCACGCACGCACGGCCACCGCGCGCGCGCGCACACAACACGACACACGCGCGCCCGCGGCACATCACACACACACACACCACACACGACACAACACACACAAAGAAAGTAGAGGGGGGCCGTGAGGTTCTGCGCTCTACGACCGAAGCCTTGTTTAGGATTTCACACACAGTTCGACGTAACGCCTATCATTGCTAATGAAAGGGAGCGATGATCAATAAATTACGCTGGCATTATTGGTGACATTATGTGCTGATTGCATAATTTACGTGATTTTATGTAGCGCATGCTGCGAGTTAAATCAATGATGGTGTCGCGATATGTTCGATGTTCATGCTGACTCGTGTGATTTGTATACCGGACGCCTATTATTTACTTGCGAATAGTTTTTTAATGTTCGACTCAGAATTACGCCTCGTCTACTTGTCAAACGTAAGACAAAGATGGGACGAGTAATATATGTATTATATATATATATTCGTGAGCTTTGGATTTTTTATTTTAATTGGCTGGTTAGAAGGATTGTAGCGAGCAGATAATTGGATATGCTACAGACATCTGACAACGGTGCGCACGCACGCGCGCGTTAACGATGCACGCCGCACCACGTATCATTCATGCACTGTATGCACACACGTACGCACTTGCTTATTCCTCCACTACTTATCTAAGTGACCGAGAAGTCAGTTATTGCAGTTTGAAGACGAGGGGCGTTGGGCTGAAACACTGCAGTGCTAAGAGATAGAAGCCATCTCGCGTGTTGAGTGCAATAATAGACGCGTAATCAATTGCTGGTTTATATGCTCGCCATTTCCATTATATATGCTATGTATCGTATGGCATGGCAGGAATGCAGGCTTATTCACGTATTTGCGAACGAACGCCTGGTGAAGTGAAATTCACGCATTATGTTGATGTTGCATGTTCACTGAAAGTTGATGCTTCACGTGTTATACCGCGCCAATGCTGTGTAATAACATATGCATTCAAGGAATTAGGCTAAATAAA